GCGCGCGAGAGAACCAACTGAAAAATGTTGCAATAAAAACAGTAAAACAGAAAAAGAAAAATAAGTAAAAGTGGAAGTGGAAGTCCGAAAGAGAAGAGAAAATCTGCTGTTGGCATTGGTTTTGGTTTTCTGCGAAAAAGGTAATCAAAATAAATGAGCGACGTTTTGCAAGCTCTGATGAAGAGGCAAAAGCCGAATGGACAGACGCAGCGAAGAACACTCTGTTGATAAAAGGGGGAGCGGGTAAAGCTGGACAGCCAGTGCGACAGAAAGAGCAAACACTTGCTAAACCTCAAGAAAAGGAAAAGATGCTTAGCTCTTGGGGGTTCTTAACTTGTAATACTCTTGCAGATAAATTAAATATATTATAAATGCATTAAATTTGGAATAGTTTTGGAGTTTGATTGGATTATCTGAATAGATATAAAGGTTCCATCAAGAGTAGTTTTGTGCGCAATAATTCCTTTGACTCCGATCTTTTAAATTCTTACAAATTATCGACCTTATAATAATGGAGAATTGTATGTAAAGTTATATTGAAATGTGTTAAAAACTGAGAGACTTATTGGCAAAGAAGCCTTATATTGCTGTGATCCGTTTGTGTGGGTTCCCCAAACATTAAATGAATACTGAAGTTTCTTTCACGCTTAGTAGGAATATCTTTAAAAACAACAAAGGTTTACAGTGAATCGAATAGTTGCCATAGAAGCAAATGGGCTGCGGATCAATAGAAGGCAAATATTTATTATAGAATCGAAGAACCTGCTTCCTTCACTCAAATTCCAAGTATCCTCTTCGAGGGTATAAAAATAACTCGTTGGCCCTAAATAATGACCCCTGAATGAAGCACCGCTGGACAGGGAGTGGGCTGTGGGGCACTGTGGCGTGGCAAGTGGAAAGCGTAATGTGCAAAAAAGGTACAAAAAGATGCTGTCGCTTGGGCCAACACAGTTCTCGGGGAAAAATTATGAATTGTTTGTCGAGCAGGTGGTGTCAGGTGCTTACCTTGTGCATCTACCCGTAATCACTTGGGTAATCGCTCAAATGCACACACAAAATCATGTTGAAATTTGCTGGCCGCGCTTTCTCTTTCTTTATCTCTTCCTCTCTTCTTTCTGCCTTTCGCTTGCCTACTTTCCAGTCGCCAGGCACCAGGCACCAGGCACCAGGCACCACTGCCGTCGAGTGTCATCTTCATCATGGCGAGTGTCTGTCTTGCTTGGATGTCAAGAAGAGGAGCAGAATGAATGTAAGATGATGGGTGTGGGGCGGTTAAGGGGGTAAAGAGTGCTCTTGAAATGTGTGTGCGTGACCTTGGGTCCGGGGAATGAAGGTGGAACGAAATTAACTCTTAATGGATTTCATAATAAGCTCTTACTTGGGTTACAATTTCTATTTTATGAGCAAATCTATTAGCTACAGTCAAGACTCTTTTGAAGTGACAGCTGCCCAAAAGGAAATGTCAAGTAAATGGAGTGCCATTGGGACTTTTCCCACATTGAAGTAGAACACGCATGAAGACTATAATCCTTACGCTCCTCTATGTACTTATTTACTTTACATAATGTAGATACATATGCATGTAGTATCCCCCCTTACAAAGATTGCGATCAAAAAACTTTGTCCGTTCCATAGAGCAAGAAAGAGAGAGAGAGAGAGAGAGAGGGGAACAGGGAGCTACTTTTTCTTGCATTTCTTTTAATGCTCTTATTTTTTCTTATGGCTCCCCCAACCCGCTTTTATTTCTTTTTGTTTTCTTGTTTCACTTTTCTTGGTTTTTCTTCCCGGCTTTGGCTTTGTTTTACGCCACAAAGCACCTCTTCAACTTTCCCCCTTTTGGCTTTATAACTCACTCAAGTTTCATTCCAGCCATAAACTTCCTTTATCCACCTGCCCATCCATTCAATTTACCTACACCCCACACCCCCATCCCACCTCTCGTGCTACCTGCCACTCAGTTTGCAGCATTAAGTCGAGTGGAACTGTTGATTTCCCTCTTTTAATTCCGTTTCACCTAAACGTAGTCAGAATACATCCGGGGGAACCCCATACTCACGTAAATCCATGACTGGGAACATTTATCCTTAACAATATTTTCCTGGGTGCCACCTCCATTTACCCTCCCCCCTGGCACCAACCCAATAAGCAGAGACAGAAACAGAAACAGAAACAGAAACAGGAAGAAAAAAACTGTGACTTTTGCTAACAGATTTCATGACGCCTCAAAGATTCATAGAGTTCCGCCCATAAATTATCATTTGGCAGATTCCGAAAGCAGCAGCAACAGCCACGCCCCTACTTAAACGCCTTTCAGGACACTAAAAGTCATGGCCTGCCGGATGATTCTTTCGATGTTAGGGAGAATGTGTGTGTGTGTGTGTGTGTGTGTCGGTTGCTGCTGCATAGCAGTATATGCCGCACATTTGCCGCAAGTCGTTTTCTTATCAGTTCTTCCTGCGGCTTCCGACTTAGCCACCCACTCTACTTCTGCCATCTTCTTTTGGCCAAGGGAACTGGCATCTGTGGGCTAACATGGAGCGAAGAAGTTTGGAGCTTTTGGACCCATAATGACGTTGCCAAGACCAAAACTGACTCAGAGACTGAGACTGCGACTGAGACTGAAGCCGACACGTTCCTTGGCCCCTTATCATCGTTTATTGTGTTGCTACATATTTTATTTTGTCGGGCGACTTTTGCTAGCAAAAGGCGCAACAACTTTCGCCAGTGCCTTGGCTCGTTATTATCCTATTAGGATGTGACAGCGCCCCGCCAGCAGCACAGCAAAGTTTTCATTCACACAAACACACACGTACGCACACAGTTGCAGAAACTCTGTCTGGCTGTGACCCACATGTCGTATACATAACGCGCGTTATATACTTTTCGCCTTTGAAAAGCCGGCTCAAAGACATTACAAGCTCGTTAAAGTGAAATCAATGTTGTTTTTGTTTTGTCCGTCCATCCGTCTGTCCGCCTGGCCGTCCGCTTGGCCTGTCCAGTTTATTTAGCCATATATTTTTATTTCATTATACGGATTTTGCCTGCCTCTTTGCTGTTATCTGTTGGCTCTTCTGTTTATGGTGCAGCACAGCAACTTCCCGGCTAACTGACCATGAAAACCGCCCAAGATGTGCGCAGCAGAAAGAAGGAAACGAGGGGTTGTAGGGCAGCGGGGCAGCAGAAATAAAGTTAAGTAAAATATACTCATTGTAAGACAATACTCGCACTGAAAGGGCGTCAAGATAGGGGACAAGTATTGTATTACCTTCTTTTTTATTCTCTCTGTTGACCAAAGTAATGGACATTCCGCACGAAATGGGGAAATTTCTTGAGGGTAAGAAGGAAAGCAATTTCAACAATTCAAATTAAGGTTAAAGTAAGATAGAAATTTTAGTCAAGTTCTGCAACAATATGTTAACTCAAATTGTAATCTTAGTAAAGTCAAAATCAACGCATCGAATTCTGATTCTGTTGCCATTACTGGGATAGATATTGTGACATTTAAATTGATTAAATAACGACACAGAAAACAACAATTTGAAGATGATCCAAGTATCGTCTGCAATCTTTTCAGGAACACAAAAACAACTTTTTCAGTACTTGGAAATAATCTCCATATAAACAGAGGGTCGAATCGCTCACATTTATGTTTATCAGAAAGCTTTTGAAAAACAATGCAATTTCAGGGAGTCGTAAACCGCTTTTCAATGACTCTTAATTTGATCAATATTTATGCATGTGAGATGATCTGGGAATAAGTATGTAAATACAATAATTCCAACAGTACTCCTCGAAATTCCCTTGACATTGTTGCAACACACAAGAATAAATAAACCTACGAATACGATTCCGAATTCGAGACAGAGATTACTCACCTCACCCATCAGCGGTGGCAATTAGTCACCTGAGAGCGCACTTGTGGCCCGATCAGCAAACGGAATAAATCCATATATCTCTGCGCATACCAATGGAAATATATTTTTTTAATTTTTTCCATGTTTTTTGGTGGCGATTTTGCATTTTACATTAATCCGTGCTGACGATGTGGGCGTGGGGAGAGGGTGTTGTCATGGGATTGTTGAGATTTGCATTTCGCACACGCCTTGGCCTGGAAATGCGGAATGGAGGCAACGATCTTTTACAGTTGCCATCTTCCCTTCTGTTCTTCCCGTCCCCGCAATTAATATGCGTGTGCAAGTGTGCACAACAGTGATCGATCGTCGGTGCAGCGCGATGATGCACGTGACGCGTGCGTGCGAGCGTGCGAGCATGATGCACTCATCCGAAATTCCAGCTGCCTTTCCTGTCTCTCTTCTCTTCTACTTTTTGTGTTTGTGCAAATTTACGACCTGTTGGAAATGAAATTGTTTGCCGCCGTCGTGTTAGTGGCCTGCCGCGCTGATATCGATCTAAGCTTTTAAGCTCTTTTCTACTGAGAGCGTAGCGTGAGAGAATAAACAAAACAGATGCCGGCTAAATAACCGGCAATAACCGGTGAGTGAAGAGAGTGCAGCTGAAAACCAGACAGGAAATTCTTGCCTTTGCCACCGAAACTATTGATACTCTAACAGACTGATCTTTTTTATGGAAGCAGAAATACCTCTAAGCAAGGGAAAGAAGGTTTGGATATTTAGTTATAAAAAGACTTCAAATACAGTAGGACAAAGCGACTGTAGATGCTGATCAAAGCATAACACGCCATCCTCTCTAGGGTATAACAAATATGGCAAATTGAAAGCGCTGCACTTGGAATGCGGGCCAAAAGAGAGCCGAGAGGCCAAGCCGATCTTCGTTGCACAAAGCTATTGCTCTTACTCTGTCTCTCCCCCACTGTGCTTTCACGCTGGCCTGCTTGCGATCCCTCTTTCTTTTTCTCTCTCTTAGTAGCGCATCAATCGCGTCATCGCTCGAAGAGAGAGCTCATTCGCTTCGCTCTTTCTCGCGATCGCAAGGTTTAAATGTGTGCGGCGCAAGCTTGGCGGCTCAGTCTTTTTGGGCTTTCAACGCGTGAGGGAGCTTTGCCAGCACCACAGCAGCAGCAGCACCGTGACAATTGCCGCCAATCAATTAAGTTCCGTTTAGTGATGCAAACACCGAAACTGCTCGTATGCTATAATAGAAGCCATAGTTAAACACTCTCGAAAGGCGCTATCCAACAAACAAACAAATAAATGAAAAAAGTTAAAAAGCAGTGAAGTGGAGAAAAGTAATATTCAAGTGAAAAACTAAAAACAACAAAGCAACAAACAACAACAAAAAGCATGTGATGTGAACAACAAAAACGGGACAGTTTTATGCTCGAAAAAGAATTTACGTGGCAGGTGTGTACGAGGGAGCCAACAGCACTGAGCGCACTAGCACATAGCTCCAGAGACCAGCAGTAGTGGCATTCCACAGAGAGAGAGAGATTGTACATAATCTACGATATATATTATATAGGTATGAAAACTGAACCGAAATCATTTTTCAAGTGTGTTGCAGGGCTTCGTTTCGCTTTTTGCCACAGTCTCTCCAACGTCTCTCCACCGTCTCCATTATTCGCTCTCTTTGTTGTTCGCCCCATTATATAAGCCGCAGCATAAAAAAAAAGTAGAAGGGTAATGTCGGTAGCGTTGCTAGCGTTGTTTGTTGGCCCATACCCAGGCAGGCAACAAGGGGCACCCAATATGGCTATACAAACAAAACCTACACACTGGCAGGCACAGTGGGACACACACACACACGACTCACCCACTGTCGACTGTCGACTGTCGACTGTCGACTGTCCGTCCGCGTACATAGATAAGATAGCATAGCTAATAATATAACAAGAGGAAAAACTGTACGGAATAACGTCATTTATAAAATATTTATGGATTTTTTGTTGTGTGTGCCGCAACGTTGCCTTTTGCCTGTTTTCTTTTTGCTCATTTTCAATTCAATTTTCATTCAACAAGGTTTCCAGATGCTGTGTGCGTGTGCTTTATATTTAAACATTATTCACAGGCATTTGCTAAATAATAAACAAATTATAAATAGGTAACTTAATAAAAAGGCAAACAGCACAAAAAACGCACACAAGATAAATAGAGAGACAAATAGTCAAAACAGATAGACAGACAGACAGACAGTTTGAAAGCTTTTTGTACCCACTACACTCGTATGCTTTATGTATCTTTGTATCTGTCCCACTCGATCCAAACCGATCGGTTGTCTCTCCGTTCCTCTCCTCTCCCTTAGCTGCGTCTCGTCGCGCTATTTGGCATGTATTTTGTTTACACTGCCACAAATCAAGGTTAAAAGCGTCAAGCGCGCAAATGGACAGAAATTAGGCGCATAGGTGGAAGTGAATTTATCGCAATGATCGAACAATTTGATTTCATTAGCCATTTCTGTCGGTGCCTCTGTGTCGCTGTCGTTGTCGGTTGCGGTCGGTTCTCTCTGTGCGTGTGTGCGTGTGTGCGCCACCTCCCCCCTCACATATTTATGAACGCGTTCCCCCTCGTCGCACACGCACGCACGCACCGTGGAAGACTTATTACTTGGTAGCTTACCCACACAGATCTGGAGAACGGGGCAAGGGCTAGCTTTAAAGAAATACTCGAAATGCCGAAAAATATGAAACCAGAGCAAGTAAATAAAACACGAGAAAGCTTATGGGGCGGCCATGGTGGCGAAGTTTATATACTCTGGGGAAACGTGCTAATGGATAAGGGATACACTGGGCTCGGCTCGCATTTCGTATGAAAGGATTCAGCGAACGATGAAAGATGAATGAATTTTTGTTAGTACATTTTATAAATATTTCCTTAATCGAATTTTGGCACGAGCTGATAACTGGAATAGAACAAATAGGGTTCTTGAAAATGCAGCAGATAACTTTTCCTCAATAACTCGAAATTGTTCATCGAATTGAATCCCTTGAGATAAAGATTACCTTGAATTTCATAAAGATAAAGCTTATTTTTGCCTATGAATAATCTCAGCTAGAGCCACTCTTGGTTGAAGATCTGCCCCTATCAATACGAGAATGTTAAACATTTTTCATCCTCTCCCACCACGCATAACCTTTTAACCTCTCGAGTACTCTTGTTAAAAAGTTGTGCATAAGCATTTATGCCATGTTCAAAGCCACGAAACTAAAAATGTAGATGAAAGTTTAGCAGGTGATTGGCCATGCCGCAACCACCTTTCATCCCGTTCAACTTTGCTGGAAAACTTTGCAGACTTCCACTCTCCTTCCACCATGAAAAAAAAGGGGTAGGGTATATCTCGTACATGTGAAAAGCGAGTGGCGGCTGTGGCGCTGGCAACGACGGACGGGCAGGGCAATCAGAGGTCAGAGCCAGGCAAAGCAGCCAAAAGACGAGACGAGACGAAACGACGACCCCGACAGACGCCAGACTGTGACTTTTGGTCCGAAATACGACTCCGAATTGCAATGTGTGGAAAAGAGATGGGGAGGCAACGGCAACAGCAACTGCAAAGAAAGAGTAAGAAAGAGAGCAACGGAAAGAGTAATGCTTCAGCCAAAGCCTCTCTTTTGATTTCACCCCCACCATCACCGCCCCACCAATATACCCTTTGTAATCATAGTCTTCATCTCTTTCGACCACCACTCTGAGACGCCTTCCGCTCTTACTTTAGGCCCCCCATTCAGTACCATTCAAATCTCTGTTTTCTTCCCCCTCCTCTCGACCATTCCCAGTACCCTTTAACTCTACCATCCTCTTTCCTTTCGTACCCTTCAACTCCCTCTTCGACCATTCTCTTTCAGCCATTCAGTATCTTTCAGTTCTCCCCTTCAGTCTCTGCTCCAGTAGCAGTTAACTCCTCTCTGTCCCCCACATCAGACCCCCTCTCTCTCTCTCTCAGCGACTCAGCAACATCAGCAAGCAGTACCTTTCAAGTGCGGGCTGCTGCTGGCTTTGGTTTTGGCTTTGGCATCGGCTTCAACTTCAGCTTCTGCTGGCTCATCAAAAAAGCCAAAAGTTGTTGAACGTGAAATTATTGTACGCGAACACGAGTAAATAGCAGCAGAGAAGGCAGCAAGTCAGCCCCACATGAGACTGTGTGCATGTGTGTATCTGTGGGCTTGTATAAGTATTTATGCACACACACAGAAAGACATGAAGCGACTTTTGACTGGAAGGTTTTGTTGTTGTTTTTTTTTTGCTTTATTTTTTTGCATGTGTTGCGACGCGACGCCAAGATAAATAGCAACAACACGAAAAGAAAACGGCAAAAAGCCGATGCTAGCCGCTAGCTCTGACGTCGCGACGTCGATGGCAAAGCAGAGCGTAGCATAGATGCATCAGATTTCGCATTCAAGTGAAATTTATGGCAATCATAAAGCTTAACTTGCTTTCGAGGTAAAATATGATGAACGGCAAACAGCAACAACAAAATCAACAACAGTAATAGCTACATCGTGAAGGGGAAGTAGGAATAAGAATAAACTAAGAGTACAGGCAAGCAGAGAGGATTCATCAGTGTAAGCAGAAGAGACAGTAGTAGCCGTCAAAGTCAATGCAGTAATAAGCAACGGTAAAAGCTGCAGCGGAAGCAGAATAGGAAATTATAGACGAGGCTGCAAATGCAGAACAGCTTTAGTATGGATGCAAACTGATAGGCATTTAAATACACTTTGAGTAAAAACCACAGACACAAGTAAACGCAGTCGCTTTGGCAGAATAAAAGGAAGCAAATGCAGTCGAAAAAGCATCTACCGAAGCAGTAGAAACAACGAGAAATTCTGCAGCAAAAATCAGAAAGCATTGGCATTAAGCAGTGGAGTGGAATCAGTGGGAGGAGAAGGAAAATGCACAAACGGCAATGGCAGAGGCGTGTCAGCAGAATAAACTTACAGCTAACATTCGGCATACGTCAGCATTTCATAGTTCAGTTGACGCACCGCCTCCCGCTCTCCTTCGCACCACAGAGAGCAAGCAACAGTTATCGCTGCCAAGGCATTGCAGCACCACCCATCTCCCGTAGCAACAGTACCACCCCCGCCGCCACCGCACAGGTCTTCGATCGCGAGACGTAGACAAGAGAAGCGCTGCCTCAGCGCATAGCTTCTTGCTGGTTGCTGCTGCTATCAACAGATTAGTCATCTACACAAATATGCGATTACACACAGAGACACTCAGCCACATGCACACAGATATACTGATATATTCAACAGATACAAAGATACATAAGAAGGGGTAAAAGAATGCCCCAAAGGTACTTAGAGTATTTCCCCCTCAGTGTACACACTCGTACACCTGGAACAAACAGAAACTTTTGATCAAACATGTGCTTTAGATAGTTATAGATAGATACGATACATAGATGGAAATCTAACCCTAGTTACATACGCACACAACACGCACTCGACACACTCAAGAGTTCGTGCCACAAAGGAAAGTAAGAAGAGTGAAAAGAGTGAAAACAATGGTCCAAAGAGGGAGCAGGAAGATGAGAGAAATCAGATAAGATCTGTACTCGAAAGAACTTTCGCTGGCTGCAGCTATGCACACTTACGGTTTCTATTTTTCTATGTTTTTGTACAGCGAAAGTGTGGCATAGACAGAGAACAGAAGAGGTGTTAAAACAGGGAGCAGAGATTACTGAAGGTTTACTTTAGATATATGTGTATTCGTTGCAGTCAGCGAAAGTTCAAAGCAGATAAGATTTGATCTGCACTCCAGAAAGTTATAGATAGATTGATACAATAGCTGAATGATGCATCAACAGAAAGTTATTACCAAGAAATGCAGAAAACAGAAAGAGAGCGAAAACATTGAGTGTAACACAGGAAGCTCAAATCTTAGGATAAGATAAGATCTAATTCCTTAGTTAGCATCTAGTTGTATTACCAGAGAATATTTAGGAAATATTTAACCATAATTTTATGATCAATTCTCTGCTCGTTTCATCCAACTTTTGGGTTCTTTAAACTTGAACTTTTTATTGCTCTATTATTTCACCATATATTCGTGCGAACTGATGATTAACTCTTTTTTCAAGAGCTTGTGTACTTAATGTGTTACTGAACCTGTGTGACCAGCAGGTATATCTACCTAGCTAGGGTAGAGAATATTTGTAGTACAATTCCCAGAAATTTCCATGAGCCCCAACTCGGTTTACAGAGCAGAGATATGCAGAATGCAAGGCTCTCGGGTTTATGTGTTGTGTGACAACAGACAAAAGAAGCCCCAGTAATTAAAGCGGAATTCCTGGAACTCATCTACGTAATCTGAGATAAGATACGAGCGAACAGGCTAAGAGATACTGCAATTTAAGCCACACAACCACAGACAGATGCCAAAAACGATGCCAAACTCAATTTAAGGACCGACATAGAGAAGCAGTCGGCGGTAAATGGAAATCCCCTGTCCAGGGACTCTATCATCAGTCTCTGGTTGAGACCATAAATCTCCGTACCCTCTCCTCACCGCTGCCTTACCAGCAGCACCTACTGCCATCGAAAATGAGAGCAGACGGGATACGTTTAGAATTTGATTGAATGAATGTGAAAAGCAAATCATCGTCTGGCATTCAATGCCAATACTCCGTAGCACACACGCAAAATTTGTTCGATTCGGTGAGATGAGATGGCTTTACCTGTGGAACCCCATGAAAGTTCCTCCTCCACTCCTGCCCCATGCCCCATGCTTCTGTGTGTTGTTCTGGCTTTATCAGTCGCCCGCTCGTTTTTTGCTGTTGTTAGATCTCTCTCAGCGGGTCTCTGGGTATTCGGCGCACAAACATTTTTCAGTTGCGGCCTTTCGTTTGCTCTCTGTATCTCTCCCTGTCTCTCTCTCGCTCTCTGTCTTTTGTGTGTGTTGCCGGGGAAATGGGTGACCCCGAGACCCGCGTCGTGCCGTACTACCCCTCGGACGGACAGACGGACGGACGCACTGGCAGGCAGTTGGTCATTAAAACTACTCGCAGTGTCGAAAAAAGGTTTCTATTTTTAGCAGTGATACAACAGAAACCAAACCCCCAAAACAAAACCAAAAACCAAAAACCAGAGCCAAAGCCAGAGAGAACTTTTGCTCAATCAAATCGAATCGAAAAACGAAACGTTTTTCGGTGGGGCAGGCCACCTTTCGTTTACTCTCATTAACACTTCCCCCATTTCCAGTGCTAGTTTTTGTTGCTGTTGTTATTGCTTTTGACATCCATCAGTATCTGTATCTGTATCTGTATCACTATCTGTATCTGCTCTGAATGCAGTATACAATTTCATCAAATATATACACGTAATAAATTCTCATCATCGTCTACCATTTCTTTTTGCTCTGTTTTTTGCAGTTGATTTCGTAGCCGTTGAGATGCCAATTGATTTTGATTTTTGCAAATTTTAACAAGACATTTATATGATTTGATATCTCGACGAAGAAGGAATTCGCATACAAATTACAGCTGAATTTTCGAGCAGGAATTTCAGTTGGACCGCACCGCACTGGTCTCGCACGGGGACGGGGCAAGGTCATATCGATTGTCATCAGCTGCTGTCATTGCCTCACACTCACACAGACATGGCTGCTAGCGTGCTGCACAAGCCAGGGAGGTGCTTGCACCATATGCTTATAATATATGGACTAATATTTGTATGCAGTGCAACGACACGTAAGTAGAAAGCACAGAAACTCCCACAGCCAAACTCCACCCTTATCCTCATCCTCACTCCCACTCCCCCTCCCACTTCCATGCATCTTAATCTGCTCGAATGTTTATCCATGAGTTATTAAGTGTCGAGAGAGAGAGAGAGAACATTTTAATTTATACTCTCACTCGCTGTGTATTTATTTATCGCACTTGTCATTGCTCGACGTTGTCTCGCCTATTTGTTTATGACCATATCAAATTGTATGAGTATCATCAGGTAGTTCAACATCCCCTCCACAATGCAGAATAATAATACATTATTCAGCTTAAACAGTCCACAGGCGCTAACCTCAAATATGTGATCGGCATTCTTCAGGTACAGTCCGTAGTAGTGAAGCTGTGGGATTGACAAATCGTTTAATAATAGAAAGAAATGACGGCACATATTTCACACCCAAAGCATCAAACGCTAAGACAATTTGTAGAGCAATTTTGAGAAAATATTCAATTAAAAGTCTAGTGAAATGTGACGCAGAATGTTAAATAAAATAATAAATTATCGCAAAATATCAGAAAAGGCTTTAGAATGACAACAAGCGAATCGATAAATGATGCCTCATGGTTCAGTTACTTTATAAAGTTCACTGATTTGGCACAGATTTAACTCTCAGCTTAAACTGAATAAAGGATTGGGGAAACCCCTGCACAAACTTACAGTTTGATTGAGCTGTTTGACTGTGCCACCCGGTGGCAGCGCCAGCACACCACTCCTGAGCGCCTCCCGGGTGTGGGCGAAGCAACGGCTCATCCGATGGGTGAGAAAGATGACCAGAATGAGATTGGTGAAGAGGCCCGCCATGAAGACCATGGCGTAATAGTTCAAGGGGAAGGGTCGCTGGTATTTACGCAGGATGAATTTGCTGTAGTGCATGAAGTAGGTGAAGAACATGTGCATCATGCAGTCGAGTGGCACCAGGCCCACAAAGCAGACAGCCTGGAGGCCGGTGAGCGAGCATATCGAGCGGTATAGGGCCAACAGTTGGTGGTGGACATTCAGCAGGCGCCAGAGCTCGAGGGCCAGCCACGTCTGTTGGCTGCGGTAGAGCTGTTGACGCCGCCGAATGATGCCGTAGCCAAAGGGCGGACGCAGCGAGGCAGCATCCGCTAGGATTCTGGCCAGCAGCTGATTTGAATGACGCCCCAGGTGGTCGAGCAGCAACAGGGCCAGTACGTATAGTCCTAGGGAGAGCCGCAGGATCAGATTGCAGGCGTAGATGAATACCAGGCTGAAGGCGTACAGAAAATTGGCCCTAACCGCGGGGTCCCAAGAGAGTATCTGTACGGTGTGCACCGGCGACAGGATGTACACCACGATGAGCACAGCCACGATTAGAAGGTTACTCCTCGTGGACAGGTGGTCGATGGATTGCCGCAGCTCTGGGGTGTGCATCAGGCGCTTCAACTTTCGCCGACAACGGAGCAACTGATTCAGACACCCGACGATCTCCTTCTGCTTCGTGGTGTGGATGTAGAGCGTGGCAAAGGTGCAGACCAAATTCAGGACGTAGCGATTAAATCCAATCAGCAGAAGCAGGCGGTTCTGGCGCAGAAAGGCCATCCGCTGGTAGACCGAGGCGAAGGCAAACGGCGAGAAGCAGCCCACAAAGATGAGCATCACATAGCCATGGATGCGCCAGTACAGTGACTCCCGCACTCTTCGCCCTCTGTGCGGCGTGGAGGCAGCCATCAGCCCAAAGACCTTGCTCAGTCCATAGTGCAGAAGTAGCGCTGCCACGGCCACTTTTTGTATCCAGTAAAATGTCCAACCCGACAACGAAAACGTCGACGACATATCGCTATGAATGCAACTGGCATTCTGTGTGTGGTGCGGCACAGAGTCGAGGACACATAATCGAATCAAGCCAAAGGCAATGGCGCATTGGCGCATTGGAGCATTGGAGCATTGGACCATTGGTTACGCCAGCTATTAGCCTGATTGAATTTCATTTAGCCAAGGCGTTCACTCAGCCAGATATAATCTCTGGCTCTCTGTGGCTCTGGCCACATATAACACACATTGAATGGGCAGACACCGCCCACAACAAAAGGGTTTTCATGGGCTACGATGGATATGAATGGATGAGGAATGCACTGAGCAAATGTTTGGCACACTTTTGATGAAGGGAAATTATGTGAAAACAAAAATACTAGATTTATCTTTCAGAGAGATAAATCTCAGAGAATTTAAATAAAATATTTGGTTTATAAATAGGGACAAATAAAATTCACCTTGTTCTCTTTTTTCGCTATAAATATTATTAAAATTTCAAGAATTTGTTATCTGGCTGTACACACAAACCTGTGTGTTCCTGTTCCTGTTCCAGTGTCGGAAATCCTAGACTTGGATATGAATAAGCAATTTGCATCTAAGTTGAATATTGTATCTGTTGGATACTTCAATAGAAAATTAGTCGAAATCAAAGAGCTTATGGTCTGTGGCTTACGCTCGACACTGTCTCTCGGCTCTGTCTCAACTTCAATTTGAGCATCCAAATCAGTCAATTTCCAAGTGGCTTTGCCCCATTTCTCACCTGTGAATGGGGCTGGAGTGTTGTTGTTGCTCCCAATTTACGGGTTAAGATGGATTCAATCTGGGATTCCAATCAATGTCGTAGCGAGCGAGCAGGCAAGCGGTTGGGAGAGGGCGGCGGCTAAAGGGGGATAAACTAACAATTTAAATTCCTGACACAGTTCGTATCCGTGGGCTGTTGCTGCTGTTCCATTGAGTGATTTCTGTGGCTCTGCAATTCTGTATTTGAGTATTCGTATCTTTATCGAGTATCTGTATTTGTATCTCTGTATCTGCAGCAGCAGCCGCAGCAGCAGCAGGAGAGCGAATAAAAATCGTTGTACCTCTCGTTGTCGTTGGATTATTAAAAAAGTTTTTCGCTTTTTAAAGGGGCCTCCCAGCCTCCTACCCCCCCCCCCCCCCCCTGATGTTTTTCATTCATGCTGCTGCTGCTGGTGCTGCTGCAAACACACAAATAAAATGCAAAACACTCGAGTGTCTATATGCGTATGGCGGTGTGTGTGTACTTTCATCCTTTATGAAAACTTTCCACGAGGCTGTTTATAAGTTTCGCACCAACCAACCAGCCAGCCAGAGAGCCAGAACAGAAGAGAGAAGAAGTATCCCCACCGTGTATCCTCGGTACAAGTTTGTATGCGCTTTTGTCCTCTTCCTGTTATTGCCGCACCACCACCACTCTAGCACTTTTTGTATCTGACGGGTTGATGCTGCTGCTGCTGCTGCTGCTGCTGCTGCTGCCGCTGCATCTCCATCTCAACCGCCATCTGTGGGGCTGCATCTCTATCTCTGGGTTGTGTGCCTCCAGTTCTAGTTTTGGTTCTGGTTCTAGTTCTGGTTCTGGCTTTATCTGAATAGGCAGCCAAGTGTGCGGTTTGGTTTTTATCTAGGTTAGGTGGCTGCTACTCCAGCCTCCGGCTCTCCCGTTCGCCGAATGGCTTGCCCTGTCCACCATCTGACGGCTAATTCATTCGCACTTTTTCGTGTTTTGTGTACTCTATAGAACCCCTCCAACAACCATACAATGGTATGTACACTTTTGCAAGTCAGTTTGCCCCGCAGGCTGTGTGCAGTTTTCATGGGTTTTTTGGCACCTCAGTGTGGTAGATTTTGGACAAATGAAAGTGTGTAAGAGTGAAGAGAAACTTTGACATGGCAGGCGCATAAAAAAGGAGGCATTTCACTTCCATTCAAGCCTTAAAGTAGGATTTTCCCATAAAAAGTTGCTTCAGACAGCAGCTACAAAGATTGCCAAAAATATAACAATGGGGATAAGAGATTTGCAGCCCAGGGGGAGGCAATCATTTTCAGGTGTCTGTGATTCACAAAAAGAGTGTGCCTTCGTCTATGTAATAAGAATTTACATTTGTATGTGTCATCGGCCTCACAAAATCAAGTTGAGCAGCATTTAAATTGTTTGCATTCTTGTTTATGTTTTAAGGCATTTTCGGGGCATGCCTCGTTTAAGTCTAACCTCCCGCTGTCGTTGTCATTGCCGCTGCTGCTGTTGCCGTTGGCTAAACTTCAAAGTCAGTTTGCGCACTCAATACGACAGCGGAGTGAAGTGGAGTGACCCTCCCGATTTGATGGCCCGACTCCAACAACTGTCCCAGCTGTCCCGCTGATAACACGACAGCGAAAGAGCGAAAAAGCGAATGTCAACGGAACACAAGACAAACTTTAATTAAATAAAGTGTAAGAAGTTTTCGAGGGAGCTCTCCTCTCAGTCAAAGCAGCCGTCAGTTGGAGTCCAGCAATCCCAACCAATTTTCCCAGCAAACAAAATTCTGTGGCAGCAGACCAGACATCAAAGTGCAGGTCCAAAAAAATCCGATAAAAAGAACGCACAAACCAAAGAAAAGGAAAAATAAAAAACTAAAGTTTTTAATATTCGACAGAGAAGATGCTTGTGCTTAAATTAAGTAGATTTTTTCAAGCAGATATTTACTTTGTCCTGGACCTGACTTTCGAACCCTACCGTGAACCCCAACAATTCTACCCCGACTCTCAAACCCCTTGAACTCTCGATTGTTTGTCCGCTTCGAAAACACACGATAAAAAAGGGGGAAAAAAAGCAAAGAAAATGGTGGAAAAAAGTAAACGTCAAAAGGAGGAAAATTTTCCATTATATGGGCGAGTGAAAATGACAAATTAACTTGAACAATGGAAACCCTCTATCGTACGGCAGGAAAAAAGGAAAAACTGTGGCAGAGAAAAGTTTCCAAAAATTCAATAGAAGGATAAAGAGTGTCCAGGTACAAAATACGCGTGGTACTTGTCGTACAAAATTAATGGAACGCCAAACAAACCAAACACAAAACACACAAACACACAGTCAACAATCAATAGAGGGAAAACTTTAATTGGTTTACTGCGGAGAGGGTCCACTGTTCGGCAATGAATCACTTACCCAAGATAACCGAGGGACCAGTAGTCGTACATCAGATAGGATTTGACCCTAATGCATTTGGTCGCTCCTTAGCAGGAGATTCTGTAAAGCAAAGAGGAGAGGATTAATTAAGTTAAAAATATGCATAAGATGACTTTAGGGTAGTAGAAAATAGAAATATTTATAATTAAAACATGTAAAAAGGGAAGGTTCTTCAGCAAAGTATATTTTGATAGATATTTAAATGAAAAAAAATTGTCTTTACAAAAATGCAATTACATAAAGAAGCACACATACATTTAACATTATGATTCCTCATTCCTTTTTCTCACATCAATCAATTTTCCCCATTTCAATTAGATCCCCTTGTTGGGGGAACCTATTGACATTCCTTCTAGCATGCCGCCTGTCCACCCATTTAAGCCACCACTAAGAGCTGCCTTCATCTTTTATTGACAAGTAAAACCACTAACGAGCCTCCGCATCCCTCTCTCTCTCACATTTCGTTACAGTTGACCTCCCTCCGTTGCCGGATTTGTGTGACTCAATTAAATGTCCGCCAGAGTCGGAGATGCAGTGCCCGTCGGATAGTTCTGTACGCGAAACACTAAATGCCGTGGACCTCATTAAATCGAATGCGGTTGACAGTTCCATACCCACAGGAGAAGGAGCAGAAGCAGAAGCAGAAGCAGGGGCAGAGGTTGGAGCCGCTGCCGCAGTCGTAAACGCTTTAACCGCAGCGGAGTCACAAATGTTGTACAACACGAGCCTCATACCCGACGAGGCCTATGCCCAGTGCTGTCTTGCGAAGAAGTGTGTGTGCCGGACGTGCTACATACCCGACTGCGACACGGCTGCGGGGGAGGTGGTGGTGGAGCTGGTGCCAGAGGCGATGGACACGCCAGGCCAGTGCTGCGGGGAGTACCAGTGCCGGAAGGAGCCCAACTGCACGGAGGTGCGGGAGACGGACTTCTATTGGCTCCAGCAGTGCCAGCGCTGTCAGTGCACCTCGGGGGCGCGCATCTGTCGCCAGAGCTGCGACGAGGCGGATGCCGAGAAGGTTGAATCGAATGCCATTTGCGAGTCGAAGAACCTCAACGAGTACTTCAAGGACGGCGATACCTGGAGGGACGAGTGCCTCGAGTGCGAGTGCGTCCGGGGGGAGCAGAAGTGCACGATATCCTCCTGTGGGAATGTCGACTGCCCCAGTGAGCGGCATGTCTTCCTCAAGGACACCTGTTGTCCGGTATGCTGGCCCGAGGGTCATCCCGTGCCACATGAAAAGCCAAAAGACGATGCAGATGCAGATGCAAATGCAGATGCAGGAGGAAATTCCGATGTCAGTGACGATTACAAGGAGGAGGATTCCAATGAGGAACAACCAATTCCCCCATTGCTCCCCGAGGCCACACAACGGACCACAATTTCAGTTAGTGCGGAGCTTCTGGCCACCACAACAACGACAACGACAACGACAACAACAGCAGCTCCATCAAGCCCAGCATCCACCTCCACCTCCCCGCAGCAGCATCCACAGCAGCCATGTTGCCAGTGCTCCTACGAGTTGGAGCCCAAAATGGTGGAAGTTGTCAGCGATGATAATGACTTCGACTTCTGGGTGGTGGCCTCCATTGCGGGATGCCTGATCTGCATCTGCCTGGGAGAATTCTATTACATTCTGCAATTGCGTGCCAAGAAACGTTCCTACGATCCGGTCTCCATTCTGGATCATAGCATCTAACGAAGGGAAAACCTAAACTAAACTTTATTTTCGTGCCCATTTTTTTTGTGTGCTTTCGTTTGTGCGAAAATTGATTAACAGAATGACACTTCTTTGATCGGACATGCTATAATTTATTTCTTTGTCAAAAAAGGAATACCAAATACCCCACGGGTGTCCTTTCGCTTAGGGGAACATCGAAACGAACGATGTGAATGTGCTCGCTGGCGGAGTGGGAAAACCCAATATTTCTTTGTTTATTTGGTATTGATCTCATTTTTAAATTTTCCTTTTTTTTATTTTCAAAATTTTGCAAACAAAAACATAAAAAAACGAAAATCGCAACGAAATTTCCGCAGCAACAACAATCAAAAAAGTATTCTTATGAAATTACAAAAAAACAAAACGATAAATATTTAGAACAAAGAAAGAAAAAAGGTTAAGAAATGTCAAGAGTTACTATTACTAAACAAAAATACAAAATTAAAAACACAGAAAAGAATAAATATAAAATATAAAATTGTACATACAAGTTAAATCTGAACTCTTTTCTTTGATCTAAGAGAACTATAATACCAAAACCAAGGAGAATGAAGAGAAGAACAAAAAAACAAGAAAGAAAAATAGTTTTTAGTTGTAGCTCTTAATTTAGGAAGTATGTGATATATATGCTAATTAGCTTATGGTTATTATGTCAACACAAACACACACACACACGAAGAAAAGAAACAAGTATTTGCAACACATACACGCGACACACACACACACACACAGATTCCATCCCCCAGAGTACTGGCGGGAGGAGTGACTCCATCTTTAGCTAATGTCATAATGTTGCCACATAAATGTATACTACTATAAATATGTAAACAAGAAAAGAAACATTATTTAAATTTATGTTTTAATGTGAAAATAAAACAAAAAATTGGTATGCAAAGCGAGTAAAAACCAATTAAAAAATCGATTGTCTCCATTCATCGTTTGATGAATTATGCCGCTGCAATTTGTTGCAAAGTTTTGCTGTTGCTGCTTTGCTCTTGTTTGGGGTAAAAGTTTGGTCGTTTGTTAAATTTTCTTCAACTTATAATTAGACTACAAGAAGGCTAGTTTTCGATGCAGCTGCAGTTCTGCAATGGAATCGATCAGGGAAATGGTTTTAAACATTTCAATTTAATTTGTGGAATACAGAATTCTTCAAATGCATTAATAAATATTGCGTTGTATATTTTTAGGCGCCTAAACAGCAATTCTGAAAACACCTTGGCATCTCGAAACGTTTTTTGTACACTTTAACCTTTTTTTAACAAAAAATAAAAAGACCCCTACAAATGCCAGCCTATCCAATACCCAGAGGATACTCATCTAAATCCCAAAACCAACATTGTGATCCGGACTCAACCCCAAAAGCTCTGTCATCGATATGATTGCCATCGAAAGTGCCCGACTAGAGGCAGAACACCACACACACAAAACTAATACCCATGGAAATCCTCTCTACCAGCAAAACAAAATCTCTGCCCAAAAAGTTACGTATACAATTTTAAAAACGACCTTCACAAAAAAAAACCACAATAGAGAAAGAGAGAGGCAGAGAGAGAGAGAGAGAGAGAGAGAGAGAGCTGAATGCGGTAGTAAGGGTAAAAGGTCGTTCGTTCTTTTTGGCAAATTGTATGCTAAGCATAATGTCATGCCATGATATGATTTATAATATGTAATAAGTTCCAGGCAGCCAGGCAGCCAGGCAGCGGCGACCAAGGCACCCAAGCATTGAAGTGGGTAACATAAATAAATACATAAAGGTAGGAGCAGAGAGAGCGCTAGAACTGGGTAGAGAGTGAAGAATGAGCCTCTGAAAAATACGAATATGCATGGGAATTGGCTGCCACCCACATTCCTTCTTTGTCGAACGAGAATTGAGTGAGTGGGGCAGAGGCAGAGGCAGAGGCAGAGGCAGAGCCCCGAACAATGTCATACATTTTGTTTAGATTGTTATCAAATGCTAAAATACCATGAATAAAGTAGTATATGTATACGTAAAAGGTATGGGGGGTAGGCCATATATATTTATGTAGTTGAGTGGGTGGCATAGTGATTTACAGAGGCATACACCTAATAAAAATGCCACTTGAAAGCAAAGGAGCGGGCGGCGTGGGATTCCAATCGCTTCGATACCGGCTCTGAAAGGCAAAAGCAAATAATGACACCCACACAATCCACCAGAAATATCCTTCCGTCCGTCTGTCCTTTTGGTACACGTGTAACCTCCTAACGATTGCAACCGTCAAACGTTTTGTATACGGATAAGAGCTACAGGATGAGGAAGCCATAACAGAAAAAAAAAAAATACAAAAATATACAACAAAGGCATAACACAATAGACTTCAAGAGTTTTGGATGACACTTTGAGTTATTTTGTTGTTGATGCTGTAAAAACACGCAAGAGAGGGCGAGACCAAAAGAGGGCCCCAAAGATATGCGATGGTAGATTTATTGGGGGCCACAGAGGCACAACAAAAAGCAAGAAACAAGGAAAACGAACAGAAAACGAGAGAGAGATAGAGGGAGAGCCGCTGCTAAAAAGCTTTGCCTTGCGATAAGGACAAGGACAAGCGCCCACTACACAGATTTGCTTTTGCACGAAAAAGTGAGTAGATATACAAAAAAGAGAAGAAACACTGAAGCAAAAAGAAGTATTGGAGTAGAGTATAAAGTGGAGTGTAGCGAAACAAAAACGAAAAGTATACTGTTGAAATGTATATCTTAGGCACATTCTACCATTCAGCACAGCAATCGTCGGGTACGACAGGCGGTAGAGAGGGAACAAAGTATTGAAGTGGAGACAGGCATTGAAAAAATAGTGGGAGAGATCTGAAAAGGGCATTGAAAGGCATCCAAGCAATCAAATTCATGTCTCAAAAAGTGAATGGCTATTGCAAACATTGCACAAAACGCCCAAAACAGAATGGATAAGAGGGAGAGAGAGAATGGGTGGGTGGAGGACTTGAAAAGAGATTGGCAAATGCTGACAATAAATAGGAGGACAGCAGAGAAAGGTAAAACGAAAGTAAAGGAATCCCTTTAAAGTTCAAACGGCGATGGAAAAACTATCAGCCAGCAACAATGGATATAGCAACAAAGGAAAGCAACTGTACCGTGATGCAACAACTGATGGGGCAGCACTTAAAGTTTGCTTTTTGAAAAGAGGAACTAGGAAATATACGAGAACTAGCAAACATAAAAATAAAAGCCAAACAACAATGGGAAATCAATATTAAGTTGCAGAAATATGGCTTCAGATATTCTCTTTTCTCATTTTTATGGGCAGCACTTAAATTTATTGTCAAATGGGCAGCACTTTAACATATATTTCATGCTATGAGCAGCACTTCAGTCTGTTCTATTCTATGGGCAGCACTTGACAATATTATGTAATATTCCGACATCCAAAAACCTAAATAAACATTCAGGGCAGGAAACGGAAGCCACTTGATTTTGGTCATGCATATATCTGAATTTATTTTAATGTCATTGCCATCAATCCAGCGCAGATCAGGGGTCGAGTCGAGTGGAGGCCATCTCATAGATGAAGCTACGCCAATTGTCACATGACATAAATGCAAAATAATGATTTATCGAATAAGGCAATCAGCAAAAAGACATCAAAGACGTCGCCCCACACACTCGGTACGGTGCTGATAGCCACAAATGAGTCTAAGCTATCATGAATCTATGTACATGTATCATGCATCGATATATATAGAGTTTATGTACGATAATGTGGCAACAAGAGAGAGAGACCTCAATCCATATATCAAAAGCACATTAGCTGAAATTTGAATTGCCAATTGCTTGACACATATACAATACACATAAATACGTACAATATATATAGACACACGGATTGTGGGTTTTGTGTGCGGTAAAAGCGTACATACGGATGACAAAACCCCAAGCACATGTCAAAATTAAATAATGTACCGCACGATTGCTGACTCGTCCTGCATATTCCATGGCATCAGCCTCCCGCACTCCACACTCTGCGCTACCAGCTCCAGCCCGCAGGACTTGTAGACACGGCATTGGCATTGGCTTTTATTTGAATTTCGGTGCGTGCGGCTGTCACTTGTCTGTTACATTCGCCATGTAAACACAACCGCAGGCAATTTTGGCAATTTGCGTCAACAGGCGAAACACGGAACCAAAAGCAGCAACCAAAAGCATCAGCACCAGCAACAATAAAAAGAGAAAACCCAACAATATTCCAACCCAATCCCAAACCAAACAAAACCGACAAAGGCGACACACAGCGAGAGAGGGTACAGCCCGACAGCCAAGAGACAAACGTCTCGCCGCCTTGGCTTAAGCCGAGAGGTAAATATAATCCATGGGGGCCTTCTGGGCCTAGACTTTGGTCTGGTCGGGTCTGGTCTTTGTGGCAGAGAGTGCCTGCCTGCCTGCTATGCAAAGTCGCTTGCACCCAAAAGAAAAGTGTTTGCTTTGCCACAGCGGAAGAGTGGCAGCAATGGGGGTGGCAGGTGGGACAAAGAACACGAGAACATGGCACAAAAAATTACAAAATACTCAACAAACACACAGGATGGAGGAGATTCGAGAATCAGCGACAATAAGAGAGAGTGAGAGAGAGGCTGTATGCCATGGTTACCCTGTAATTGGCAGACAAAATCCACAAGTTTCCAAGGTAAAACGAAACAAACAAACAAACAGAAAACAATCATGAAGCGATTATACTCGGTTGCAAGGGAAACACATAGGAGAGAGAGAGAAATTATTTAATTGTAATGATATTCCACACAAAAACAAAGGTAGAGAACAGGAGGAGAAAAGTTCTTGAAGGTGATTACTTTTTTAATATTTAAATCATTGGAGAAAGCAAGGAATTAGTGTCATTTTTTATATAATTTTTAAGAGCAGCATAAAAGTGTGCAGAGAAAGATGAACCTGCACTCATACTAAAACCATTTTGATTGACATTTTATAACTAGAATTTCGTTATTTAAAAGGAGAGGAATTAAGTTTTAGTTATTTCTGTAAAATAAATTTCTCTAACGCCATTAAATTCCTCTCAAAAATCTCTCAAACTTTACTTAATTAATTTTCAGCACTTTCATCGATAGTACGCACACGCCCCGTGTGCCATGTGCCTATTTTGTAGGGTGCAAAAAACGAAATATACAATAAATGCCACAGATACAAAAAAAAATTTGCCATGACATTACAAATATACACACAGCCGCCGCCACACAGAATGACACAAGGGGCAACAGGGGACAGTTGAGATATAAACCAACAAAAAGACACACACACATGGCCAAATACATGCACGCAGGCACCCATATGTATGGAGACATGCAGCAGTAATTTTATATATTATGTACACACAACACAATGTATAAATATTTGTGCAAGGTAAGCGGAATATTTTATATTTGTTGTCGCTTCTCGCGTTGAGCGAACCAAACGAAAAAAAAGTATCCACCAAATTGTGGCACTCGTACGTATACGTAACCAATTGAAGATTCTTCTTCTACTTCGACTGTATATAGGATGTGAGGATAAGGGGAAGAGGAATGAAAATGGTTATAGCCCTAGAGGATAAACAGAGTTTGGGGTAGGGTGGGGTAGGGTAGGGGAGACCTTAAAATCGGTTCAGTGTAAGCATCTGCATGCACCGCTAAAATAAATCAAGAAATAACATTTACACGTTCGTTTTATGTTGTATTTGCCACGTAACAATAAAAGACTCATCCCCCCACATAGACCAATTTTCACCCCCACACCAACGGCAGAATGGCACACGTAAACACCCTCTAGACCCGCCCCCAATGCCATTCGAG